TTTTTTTTAATGAAACAGGGAAATATGTTGATTTTCAGATGGAGGGGATTATATATGAGTATTCTAGTCTTTATAGTGGTCTAGTAAGTGCGATAACATCGCAGCTAATGATAGATGTTAATATTCACAATATAGAGATAAAATATATAGTTAGTGATAGAAGTCCTCCTGTTAGTATCCACAATGATGTTCGTGTGCGGATTTTTTTAGATCAAAAGAAAGCTAATGTAGATTTCTTTACGATTTCATATACTTGGAAATAAAATTTATTCCAAATTAATATATAAGATAGTATAAATATTTGTATAGATTTCCGATTTCAGATTCCAGATTTCATATACGTGATTCATTAATTATTCATACAGATTTTATATACTTGGAAATAAAATTTACTCCAGATTAATATATAAGATAGTGTAAATATTTGTATAAATTTCATATTTTAGATTCCAAATTTCATATACGCGATTCATTAATTATTCATACAGATTTTATATACTTGGAAATAAAATTTATTCCAGATTAATATATAAGATAGTGTAAATATAGTGTAATATATAACAAACTTTATACCAATCTTATTCAAGTTTCATTCCAACACAAACTTCAGTTTATATCACACATATTACACCAACAATAAATCAATTTCATATAATCACACAATGTATATCATTTGTATACCAATATTATATATATATCCAACCATCAAACATTAAATTCAGTGTCATACACATATTAAACAAATTTCACACACGTTTCATCCATTAATTGTACAATCTGGATACACACTGATATTTTAAAATAGTGAATCCAAATGGTATGAAGTCTGTATATTACTAGTATCCTGAAATTATAATAGCCAAACAGTAATTCATATGTAGATGGTATCTGATTGGAAGAAAACATAAGATATTATATATCATCAAATACTTAAAACACAAAAAAGTTGTCCAAAAGTAAAAAAAAAAAACATGTAATTAAAGCAGTGTGACTATACGAGAAATGTGTATACACGTTAATGTATTGTGCATGACGACTTTTCTGTCTACCTAGCTAGCTCCACAATCAATGATAAATAGCATTTTTATTGACTTATTTTATTTTAGGTGACTCGGACTTGATTTGAAGTTTGTGTATTATTCCAATAAATGCTACTCATGAACCATACCGAATATTTATAACTATCTACATATATAATCATGAAAGCAATCTCCTTGTTCATGCAAGAGTTATGGGCTTCAGTAGTAAGATGGCCAGGTCATTTCGTCTGCTCCGTGGGCCATTTAAATGGATCAACACCACAAGCCCAACCTTCATTTCAACTGATACTAGAATATTAGTCCGTCATTTTCAAAAACATGTTTAGAATAGAAAGTAAGCATATTGTGATATTTTTAGAAAAAATCACTAGTTTGATAATTCATACCATTTTCATACAAGTTTAAAAATTCATATCATATACACAATTAATAGACAATCACACTAATATTAAAATACAATTCATACCATTTGTATACCAATATTATATCTCAATTCATACAATATCCAAAATCAAAACATTAAAGTCATAGTCATACAAATATTAATCAGATTTCATACGCATTTCATGCAATAAATATACAATTTGGAAACACACTGATATTTTAAAAAAATTGAATCCAACTGGTATGAAGTATGTATATTACTAGTATTCTGAAATTATAATAGTCAATCAGTAATTCATATGTAGATGGTATCTGACTAGAAGAAAACATATGATATTATATATCATCAAGTACTTAAACACAAAAAAATTGTCCAAAAGTTGAAAAAATAACATGTAATTCTAAAAAAGTAAAAGGTGCAATCAACTATCTCAAATTTCTTGTCCGTGGTCTTGGTGTAGGATAATTGGTGGTATTCGAAACATGTTCTTTTCTTTTTGATTTCACTAACAAAATCGGAATCGTAATCAGAAGGGGTTTCAACAATTTTCCCCTTCCTCTTCTTCCCCTTTTGATTTGCCTGGGTCGCCCTTTTCTTTGCTTCATTTTTTTTCTCTTTCCGTTCCTTCAACTGAGATGAACCACCCGTCGCCTGATTTTCAATATTCGCCGAATTTTCAACAATTTTAGGCGGGGGGTTTGAGTTAATATATTGAAAAGTTGGAGCATGAACTTCATCAGTAGAAGTTCCTTCAACTAATCTGGGACTCTTTCAAGGCGTTTCAATGGGTTTCTTAGAACATGATTTTGTTGAAAAACTTAATTGGACAAACGATTGTGAAAATGATGTAGTTGGCTGGTGAGAAAAATGGGAGAGACAAGGTGAAAATGGGGTAGTGGGGGTGATGGCGTGTAGATTTGAAGTAGGGCGGTGGGGTGGAGGGTGGTGGGGATTGAGGTATGGAAGGTTTGGAGTGTAACAGTAAACAAGGAAGTCTAATCTATGTAAATCCCTTAATATGTGTAACTGATGATTTTAGTTTTAAAAAAGGAATTGAAATTAAATTAATTAAATATTATTAATTAATAATATAAAAATATAAACAAATTAATCATTTATTAAATAAATTGAAATTGATTTTTAAATTAAATTAAATTTAATTGATATGTCATAATCCGTAAATAAACTATTATAAGTAAGAATTATTTAAAAGTATGTTTAAAACCCGTAAAATTTACTCTTAAATGTGTATATGACGTGAATTTTCCTTTTTCCTTTTCCTTTTCTCGCGAAGTGTATAGTGAATGGGCTTCGGCTGACGGCCTTCCTTAAGTGGCCCAAAATAACGCACTCAAAATCGAACGGCATTGGGTTCTACAACCCGAATCCCCTTCCCACATCATCAATAATTCTCCATTGATCAAAAACCCTAGAAATGCTAGCACTTCGCAAGCTCTCGACCCTAAAATCATCAAGATTTCTCTCTTCTTTCGCTATTCAAAATCCTATCTGCAGCTCCTCAACGATTCCAGACGTTCCCAGTTGCACCAATTACGATGAACGCATCAACAAAGCTGGCCGTGAAGGAGATTTCACCACTGTCCACCACCTTCTTAACAAGCGCGCGCGCGATGGCTTCTTCAACACCAACAATACGTTCAAGTTCATTTCCACTAATAATGTGTCCATACTCGATGATCTATTGGAAACTATAGCTCGGTTAGATAATGGTTTCCCGAGAAAGAGCTCCTACGACTGTCTCATTGCGCGTCTCTCGAAGATGCACTGCATTTCGGAGGCTATGCGTGTTGCCAAAGTTATGGTGAGCAAAGGTCACGAAGCAAACAATGTCACGTTTCATCCCATAGTTAATGCTCTGACGAAGAAGGAGGAATTCGAAGAAGCCTGGCAAGTGGTGGCGGTGATGAAATCCTGCGGAATTTCTCCTGATTTGACGACGTATAATTTTCTGCTGACTGGTTATTGTTTTGCTGGAAATGTGGCATCAGCTGCTGGTGTTCTAGCAAAGATAGAGGAGGAGGAGCTGGGGGCGGATACGAGGACTTACGACGCCCTGGTTTTAGGCGCCTGTAGAGCAGGGAAGTTGGATGCTGCTTTGGCAGTGGTGAGGAGGATGCTAGATGATGGGGTTCCGCCATTGTATTGCACACACGCCCATATTATCGGAGCGTTTCTGAAGTATAACTATTATGAACAAGCAGTAGAGTTTGTTAGGAGCTATGCAGGAAGAGACGCTAAATTGGATGCAGAAAATTTTGGAATACTGGCGACCAGATTGATCACTCGGAGTAAATTGGAGGAAGCTAAGAAACTGGTTAAAGAGATGAGTGAAAGGAGATTGGTAATGGGTCCGAGATTGAAAGATTTCTATGAATTGTATGTTAGATCTGATGGTTTGAGATAATTATTGAGTATGAATGCAGCATTTTTGATATGTAAAGACTTGGTTTTGTTGGATGTTATTTAAAAAGAAAATTTCATGGATCATTCATTCGATGACGTATAGTTTATGAATTGAATCATAATAATGGAACGTTTAATTGATACAAATAGTTAAAGAGATTAACAAAAAGGAGAATTTATTACTGGATTGATTTGTCCAAATTTAAGATCTTTCTGGAATGGACAGTTTTTAAAGAACAATGTGGCTACAAACACATTGTCCTACATTGTCAATAGTTTATAAAAAGGTACCTCAAGGGAATGCTAAAAGCATACAATAGTGAAAAAGGTTTTGCTCTGGTAAACATTGAAGTGAGAGGATACATGAAAAGATCTGAGAACTTGAAGCAGCAGCAAATAATAGAGTTGGAAAAGGGAAATATCTACTAAAAGGATGTTGACGAAGGTCTATCAGAGCTTGAAAGATTGAAACTTTTGTCTGCAAACCCTGCTCTTGTCGGTAAGCCAACTTACTGGCTCTAGGTGTTTACATCTAACCAATTATGCATGACATGTATTTGACCATATACAGTTATCACTTAACGATAGGTAATTAATGTACATATGTACTTCATTAAATCACTTAACCTTGGTAGGTTTAATTGGTTAGGTGTAAACACCATGTAAGGGTAAATATTTACCCAAAGTCCCAATTTTGAACTCATGTCCTCACAAGTTAGTTATATCCATTTTATGTTGCAGCAATGATGTTGAACCAACCTGACTTGTATCTTTCAATGAGAACATGATCAATTTATCATATGCGAAGATAAAGCATCAATGTCCTTCAACATTACCGGAAGTGTGACAAGGTTTACAACAACAACAACATACTAGGGAGGTGGGGCAGTCCTATGATCCCACAAGTGTGACAAGGTTTCCCCTTAAAATTATCTCCTTTTAGTGTTTCTTATTACTGTATAAGCCCTTTTAAGTTTGCAGTTATTAATGCTAGATATTGGTTTTTGGCTGCATATAGTTCGTTATGGCTTTGCTAAAAGATTGTCATATATCCCAGGATATTTTGCTCCACGTTTTTCCATTTGGCGTTAGTGTTTAAATTTCTGGAGCTTAAATTTAGGGAAGCATAAACGGAATGGCTGCAATGCTATGGCTCTATCACTCTATAATTTCCATTCATTTGCCAAATTTTTGCACAGCGACTTCTATTGGTTGTTTAGTATTTACTTTCGAAAGTCCAGAAACAGTAAATCAGACAATTTGGCTGACTAAACTCTATGGTTTTTTATTCCTTGTTGTTTATTCAATGTGATACCTGATTTCTACAGGGTTGAGTTGGCTGAGCCTTAGTTTGGTTTTTTTACTCCATGAGTGCACTTACAAGGTGGGTAATGAAAGCTGAGCAAATATCAATTAAGGCTGGAACCTTGACAATCTTAAATTCTTCGTTATGTTAGATGCTTCTTGAGATGTCAATGTTGTTCATACTTGTAAGTCTCAGTTTTGGCGTGGTACTTGTTTCCCTGGGAAGAAAAACTGAAGATTGCCATCAAAGTTGATGCTAGGAATACGTGATTTGGATTGATCAGTTTTATCCTAACCAGCTTGTTGGCAAATACTGGATACACATGATCTAAGAGGTATTATCTTAGAAGTTGCCTTTGGGCTTTTATGTGAACAGAAATGGTTAAATTTATCCTCTAAATTCTGCTTCTACCATTCAGTTCAAATTTAGTCACGGTTCCTGTAACAACCTACTTTACTTCTTACAGTCTTACCTCTGTTTACTTTTGGGAATGACCCGTCTACTTATTAGTATATGCTAGACCAGTAGTTCTTTGATATGAGGAATTCTTTTACTGAAATTTGGAGTTTGCTAGAGCCACACCGGTCTAAGCAAAGTGGAGGCTTGATTGGGTTGTGGCTTAATTTCCGGTCCCTTTATTGGCTATCCAGTTGTGTATACTGGAAAATACTCTGGATTTCTTAACTTCTGGCATAAATTGGACTTATCCAAATCTTCCAAAGAAATGAAGTCTATTTTTGTGGTGGTATGGTGGATTATATGGAGAAAAAGAAATGCTTGTATTTTTTACGACGAGAAGGATGTTAGAGTGGATTCGAGTCACACATTGGTTGGAGAATGAAATGGTGGTCTTCTTATATGGACTTAGGCAATCCTCCCTTCATGAGCTAGCTTTTATGGTTGAGTTAGGCCCATGTGTCATATCTTTACATGGTATCTTAACCAGGTTCATCCTCGTTTGGGCTCCCGGTCCACACTCTAGTTGGGTGTAGGCGTGAAAGGGGTGTTAGAGTGGGTTAGAGTCCTACATTAGTTGGAGAATCGATTGGTGGTCTACTTATATGGACTTGGGCAATCCTTCCCCTATGAGCTAACTTTTGGGGTTGAGACAGACCATAAGTGTCATATTTTTACAAAGGATAATGTCATTTATCTCAATCACAAGTGTATATTCTTGCTTAGTTTTTGGTGCCACAAAGCTATGGCGGTTGTTTAGAGCCGGATGTTATTGTGGACTTTTTTGCTCTCTACACATTGTGAAGTTTATTTTGGATGTAATTCTGCTCCAGCATTCCCTTAAGGTTGGTAGCTTTCTCGCATCAATAATGTCGCTTTATTATTTATCAGGAAAATACCAATATCCGGTTCCTTGTATGGTTTGGGAACAGTATTCAGAAAACTAGTATATGTGGTTCTTCCTAAAAAAAAGAAGAAGCTAGTATATGTGGTTGGTTGTTGAGTATGACAACTGTGATGAGGCATGTGTTTTTGTAGGGAGTGAAGTTACTACCTAACCGACAGTGAGATCAGTTTTATTTGTTACTAAAATAAATAGACATCACTTAAAAGAAAAAAAGATTATGGTTCATGTCCGTATGAGTTCCCCATTAATTCGTTAGTGTCATCCTAGTAAAACATAGTTTTTATTCGCATTCAAAGAAGCCACAGAACCAAACCCTTCGGGGTGGCCCAGTGGTTTGGGCTTGGGACTTCCGGAGGTCTCAAGTTCGAAACCCCTTACTTGGCTTTGCCTTCTGGGTCGAGCTCGTCGCATCGGGATTGCCTAGTGCGGGTTACTTCTCCTGTATGGTTCGCGAGCTATTGCATAGGTGCGCACCCAAAGGGTAGTGGTTGGGATTTCCTTTGTAAAAAAAAAAAGAAGCCACAGAACCAAACCTTCGGGGTGGCCCAGTGGTTTGGGCTTGGGACTTCCGGAGGTCTCAAGTTCGAAACCCCTTACTTGGGTTTGCCTTCTGGGTCGAGCTCGTCGCATCGGGATTGCCTAGTGCGGGTTACTTCTCCTGTATGGTTCGCGAGCTATTGCATAGGTGCGCACCCAAAGGGTAGTGGCTGCGAGTTTCCTTGTCATAAAAAAAAGAAGCCACAGAACCGGAGCTGTGTTCTCCATCTTTGTAGTAGTGATTTTAGTCAGAATAACTAGTTGCTGGAGTTAGTAATCAGAATTGTGTCATCTTTAGTATCATTTTGTGCATAACAATTTCCAGGTTACTGTACGTATGAGATTATGTGTTTGTACCTGAAAAGGCGCAATGGTACTTTGTACCACTTTTTGAGCATAGGATTCTCCTTTTTTCCTTGTCTCTTGCTTGCACAAGGGACATAGTATGAAGTATTTCTCTATGTGCCCTTTTTAAACTTCCACTTGTTTTTGGATTGGTGGTAAGATCTTCAACTTTTCCTGTTTTTACCTAATGATTGGCAGTTGGATAAGTAAGCAATTCTCAATGATATTGTTAATGTTGCTATATATTTCAATTATAAGTTTGTTTTCGAAAAAGCTGTAGTAATTGGCAGCAGACAATCAATGAAGTTTGCTTAGTTGCTTGTAAATTGTTGCGTGATAACTTGTCATTTTGTACGGTAAAAAAAAGAAGATATTTCGAGGGTGAAAATTCACCTTGAGTCTCATCTCTGATGGATGATTAATGCCTGTACTTATACTTCTCCTCTTTGCTCCATCAAACAGGTCATTGCATGCTGGCAAGGAATTGACAGCATGGTTGTTATCTCTGAGGAAAAAAACTGATGCCGTAGTTTGCCTCTTTCCTGTCGTATCGTTGCTGTGGCTGAGTACTAAAGCTTGGCAGGATTCTATCACATGGAGTTTCAGGCACACCATAAAAGAACTGTCATCTTTATACCAGCAGCTAACTGGTACACTTCTCAGTAGCTGCTGGATAGTCGTGGAGTTATTTCTGTGGAGCTTCAGTTATCAAATATCTAAGAAATACTTCATAATTTTTTCTGTTATTGCAGTTTGTTAAGTGCTACTAGATTATCATCATAACGTAGTTTGTATACGGAATCTGTATAAATCAAGATTAGAAATCAAAGTTGATGTATAACTATACATTGTCAATTTGTCATTGATCGCATTGAATTAGCTCTCGGTATAGTGCTTCTGTATCCATCATATCTGTACTACAGCTCAAAATATATCCTTGTGATTTTGTGGAGTTTGGTTTACTCTTTTCTTCTTTTTAGAAAATGAAAATGGGCTCAAAGCACCAGTGGTTTTCGAAATTTTGTACGTTTTTGGTTGGGCCTTTCAACCTCCAAGTATACTAAAGATGATAGACAAATGTGGCTATTGAAGCAAATAGCTTATAAATTAGTCTTTCATTTACCAGGCAAATCCATCATCAACAATGTACAAAATCGAAGAAATTTACCTTTAATGAGCCGCTCTTCCTCTTATATATACAAGGAAATGCGTAAACGTACATTAAATAGAGAAGGATCATGGAAATGGGAATTGGCCAAATTCATTGTTGGATCCAGTTTGGTCCATGGCAAAGGTATTCTGGCTGAAGCTATCCAAGAATCCACCAGAAGTGTCCGCAAAAAAAGAAGGCGTATTGATGATATTAACATTAAGAGGATCATAATCCAAGAGAGAACAATTAGAAGTTGTGCTACTGGGCTTGGCTTCATAGTAAGCAAGATGTGCTTTAGTAACCATCAGATCATGTTGTAGCTCCACCATCTTCCTCTGCAAAGATGCTATAGCTCCAATGCAACCGTAAACCGGGTCTCTAAGTCTCACCTCAGCCTCGTAGACCAGCGAGTTGACAGTGTCCTCTCGCTGGTCTTGTGGCACTTCATTCAGGATCTTGATCACGTTGCTAGCTCCAAACACCTTGTGTACATTAGCAAACTTCTTCGGCTCGTCCGATCGGAAATATGGTGCAAATTGGCAAGTGGTAGTGCACCTTCTCTTCAAGAACTTACAAGCTGCACAAGAAGAACTTGAACGTGGCTCATTACTTTTCATGGCTACCTCCCCTTTTTTTCAAAAAACTTCAGTTCCACACAACTTTGGTTCTTCTTTTATAGGGTTGGTTCCTCCTCATCAATGCCTTATACCAAATATATAAACTATTCATTACTGTACTAACAAATTGGCCCATTAGCTCAGTTGGTTAGAGCGTCGTGCTAATAACGCGAAGGTCGCAGGTTCGAGACCTGCATGGGCCAAAATAATATTATTTTCATCACTGAAAATGATCAACTTTGATTATATTCTTTTCTTTTCTCTGTTAAAAGGAATAAAAAAAAAAGTGTTAGTAGCTGGAATACTGATCCCTTTTACTGACAAATAAAAAGGGTAGTGGAAGAGAAATAGTTAAAGATGGGGTATGTGTGTCTCGAAGAAATAACATGGGATATGATAGTTCAAGGAAAAAGCAACAAAAAAAAAAAAAAAACTACTACTATACAGTATACACCTTTGATATGTTGAGGGTGAAGGATGGGACATGTTGATTAAATCCCCCCAAATAAAGATGAGATGTTACAACAATTGATTATGAAAGATGAGAGATTTCACAAAAATAGGAAACCCTATATGTAGAGAAGATGGAAACCTAATACCTATATAGAGCTACACAAAGATTCAAAGAAGTGAATTGTATTTGATTGAGTTTGAAAGGAATAAAAGTGAACATGTCTCCAAATTCGCAGGATCTTTATTTTTATCCCAACAAATAAATCATAATCTTCAAATATCTTATCAAATAGTAATTTATTACTCCTTCCATCATATTTTATATGGATTAGTTTGATTTGACACGAAATTTAAGAAAGACGTTGAAACTTGTGATTTAAAATTAGTAATAGATGTTTGTGTGACTATAAATCATTTTATTAAGAATACAATAAACATTTTAAAGTTAGATTGTTAGTACTAATTATAAATTGTGTTCTTTAATAAGCACCGACTAAAAAGGAAAGTGAATCATATAAACGAAGAAATAATTTGGTTAAGACAGAACTTATATTATATACTATTAAGATATGTAAAGATTATAGACGAAGAAGCATACCAAATCTTTTCTTCTTATCTGGATGAACTTATTTTTTTAAAGATAACGAACGTGTCGAATTCAAACTTTAGGGGTGAGTTTGGGAACGACGGAAAGTATTTTATAGGATAATGTTAATTTTCTTACTTATTTTTCGATATGTAAATTAAAAAGTATTATTTTAAAAGTATTTATAAATAATTTTGACACACATTGATAATGATTTGCATTTTCATCTCTAGCTGAGACATTACAATTAGGAAACTATAAGCAGCTCTTCGCTCCACATACTAGAGGGGGTGGGACTAAGGGCTACACGGATAAGTGAATATTCGATGTGTATGATGTGTTGGAAGACACAATTAATATGAAATGTCAATTGTAATATTTGTTTCGCTATATATTTCTACTATTCTACTAAAGACATTATATTTTTCTCATTTGAAAAAACTTAATTTTTTAGAGAAAATATTTTCAACAATTTGAATGACCAACCAAACATAGAAAAGTTGTATACTGAACATATCCCCTAAGACGTAGTACATATGTTTTTTTTTTTTTAAAAAAAACAAATAAATTTCTTCAAAAAAAGTATATGTTGAACATCTTAAGAACAAGATATATTTGGTTCGATTTGACCTTTCGTAGATTAATACCAAACAAAATCAATATTGTCAAAGTTTTCATTAAAAAAAATATACAAAACCAAAATAAAAAAAAACATTAAATCTATTTTTGATATGCTTTGTTTTATTTGAGCCAAGGTTAATCGAAAATCATTTATTTCTCTTAATAGAAAGTTGCATATATATATATATATATATATATATATTAATACATCAAAAATGATCTTTAGCGGAGATAGCTCAATTGCCGCTAAATATGTATTTTTAACGGTAATAGCTCAATTGCCGTTAAATATGTATTTTTAGCGGCAATTAACACTATTTGTAAATGTCCCTAAAGACTTTAGCGACATTGAATCTAATGACACTTAACTAATGCCTGTAAAGTCTTTAGCGCTCTTTATTAATGTGTCTATTTATTGCCGCTAAAAGTTATTTTTGTTATAGTGTTGATCTCCTCAAACCTTTACTTATGGGATTATACTAAATATATTGTTATCGATTCAATTTGATTTTTCGCTTTTGCTTTGAACGCCCCTACTCTCACATGTATATGTATTAAATGTCGATTGAGTTAAATCAAACATGGTAGGTGTGATGATGCTATCCAGCCAAGATGATAAACTTAATTAAGTCTGTCATTATCATATCATATCGATCACCAGTATTTACTAAGAAATGATTCGTCTCAAGAAGTCTATCGTATTTCTTTTCTACCACATAAGTTGCTTTACAACATTATTTGAGCATTATATCATTTTACTCAGAACGTCAAACCCACACATTTGAAGATTCTTTTATCACTACTTTGTTTGGTAGCTTTTAAGAAATGGATTAATTAGACTTTACTTTCCTAATCTAGTTACAAATGATTGGATTTTCAATATAAAAAAGGTGTATATCAAATAATTACAATTGTTTTTAGGAGGTAATATTATTAGTATTTCAATCATGGAATTATTTCCAAAAGAAATTAGGAAAGTGGGAAATTATTCTTCAAGATAGTTTCTAGAGATTTGATCGACATTTATTCGCCATCAAAGCCAAGAGTTGGCTTCTTCTGGTGCGTATGCGTCTTCAAGCTATCTTTGACATAGTAAATTGAGCCTCATGCCATCATTTTGCCGTCTTCATATTATAATTCACTTGAACTATAGTGAAATTGTTAGTTACACATCTAAACTTTGTTGTGGTAGTCCTAGGCTCCTAGCTATGATCTTCCTAGACTATTAAAAAAAATAAAAAAACAGTATTTTTACCCCTTCAAATTTCAATAATGATCTAGTAATTGTATGTTATAAGAGCGCCTATCAATCAACTTAAAACTCATATACTCCTTATGTATTTGTCATGTAAGGGTCCAAATTAATCAAAATTAAAGCTGGTTTCGTCTTGGTAAAATATTTAACCTCCTCTCATTTTAGCCATTGACAACGAGCTAGCATTGAAGCTCAAAAGTTTCACTGTTATTAGAAATTCTTTGTCAAAGAAAAAGAAACAGTGAGGAGTATTCATCTCATTATAAATAATGTACTGTAAAAATGTATATTCAATGCTCTATTCCTTTCTAAGAGCGCATTACATTTTGAAGTAGTGTAATTTAACACCTAGAAAATATAAAACTTCAGTAAATGAAAAGACAAATACAGAAAAAGTTTCAAACATAACTTTGGACAATTCAATTATTTTAAACAATGAAAAAAGCCTCAAAAATTTAGTTAATATGGATTAGAATTGAGTACTAATTAACTAACTCCTAACTAGCTACCATCCTAACGTACTTGACTGACTAAAGTACGGTATCAGTTAGGTAATTTAAGAGGACGTATGTGAAGTCCCTAAATTACCCTCTAGTCGGTTGGTGTAAGGGATAAAAATAAATAGTCATGTGATAAGAAAATAGTGATGAAATAAAATAATGTCTTGTTTGGTTGCTATGTTTGGGATAACTTATCCCACCACTTATACCATAGTGATGGAATAAGTTATCTCATATACATGGTGGGATAAGTTATCTCAAAATAGCTAATCGCATGATAGCTAATCCTGAGATAACTTGTTCCCAACAAAACGACCCTTTGTACCCAAAATTTGTGTATAATTATAGCGTTTGCTATGCACTCAATTAATAATCCTTAGATCTCTTCAAATCTTGATGAAATTACAAGTGCAAATAAATAAATAATATTTTGTACATAAGTGGATGATTATGTTGATTCACAAAAAAGAGAGGATATTTTGAGGAATATATTGCCTCTCATCATACTGCAGCAGGAATATTGGACATATTAGGGAATATATATTTTCTCATCTTATATAGACATTTGTAGGCACATGTCTAAGTTCTAACTTACTTTCTTTACCAGGTCATTATTGAAAAAAGTAAAAATATTAAAAAGAATAAGTTCAACGGGTAGTAGGACGTTTGCATAATTTAAATTTGTAATTGGTAATTTCACTATAGTTTAGATGTGTTTTTACTCCTTATTCTTAATATTAATTATTTGTTTTATATGTATCTTTAGACCTAATGAAATAGTAAGAACTCAAAATCAACTTTGTTAATTCAGAATGTTGATTTGGGTCAAACTTTCCGACTCCTGATCAACTTTCGAAATTGAAAATCTTTCCCTAAATGCGTCTTATCACCTCAGAAATTATGCTGCCCATTCTCGCAACTCACAAGTCATAAACAACATAAGGAAACTACAAAAAGGTTCAAACTGGGGAAAGAATCCAAAAGAACAAAACGATGACGTGGATCATTACAATACCAAAAAGTAAGGAAAAAAAAAACTCACCTGTTTTTGAGAAAAATATTTTTCAAACACCCTTAATTTCTTTTTGAATCTCATGTTTGGAAATAGGAAGATGGGGTTTCCTCCTTAACATCTTTTATATTTAGATGTACAAAATTGGAGATAAAAAGCAAATTTTGATAGGGTCAACTATAGTCCTCAACTATAGTCCATAGTTCTATTTTACCCAAGTAAATTAGGTTAGATAACTGAAGTCCATCTACCTATACTAATTATATTGTTGGGAAATTATTGAAATTAATCACATAAAATACACAGGAATTTTCAGCTTGAATATCCTTAAGGATATTTCATCGATAAAGTTGTATTTTCCAAATTCAGCAAATTTTTTTAGTAGAAATTGGTAGAAGAAAGAAAAAATGCCAATTACTTTAAAGTAGAGAAGAACACATTTTTGTTGAATCTCTGAAATGAGATACACTTTCTTTTGAAATACTATTCACAATATCTTTTTGAACATAGTAGACTATATTTTTACCTCAACATTAGATAATGTCATGATTTAGTTCAAAGGGATTGATTATAAGAAAATCTATGTATTGTTTTATGCAGATATTAGTTATGTATATATGAATTAGTTCATGTATTAGTTATTCCACCTTCTATTCTGCATAAAAATGTATATATAGATTCTCTCATAACTTATACATGCATTAATTTTGCGGTTTATCAAACATAATATTACTTATACAGAATGTAATACCCGCATAACTCACATCGAAACTATCTATACCAAACTACCCTAAGTATGAGTAGGTAAGTAATAAGTATTTTGGTGATTTCATGCCCCACCTCCTATCCTAATATTTGCTGTTGATGTGCAGTTATTTCTTAAAAGAAAAATCAGTTCTATCCCACTTCAATAAACGTCGTAATCGTCTATCAATATGCACGCTTTGAACTAACTTAACTTTAAAAAGGCCCAATTTTTTTAAAATTTTTTAAAAAGGCCCCATTTTACTTCCCTCGATAAAGAGACATTTGGCATTCGAATTTCCTTTTTTGCATTTCTTTTCTAGTAAATATTATTATGCATATATAAACGATGCAATTCTATGACACAATTGCATTCTTGAGATTTTCTCTAATTCTAAGTCTTTAATTTA